CTTGGCATGGTTACTGTTGACAGCTTTAAGACAAATTTATGTTGAAAAGCAAGAGCAAAGACATGGCTAGAATGATTCAAAACAATGCGAGTTTTCACCAGAGAGGAAGCTCTAGTAAATTTGCAGTCTTCAAAGATGGAGTAGAAAGAGCCAACCAAATAGCTCAGCAGATTAAAGCACCTCAAGCAGGTACAGGGACTGGGGGTTTGATCTCCAGGCCTGCAATGCTGGCCCCACCCCTGGGGTGCGAAATGACAGTTGGGACTGGGTGTGGTAGCTCACACCTCTAATCCCAACTCTTGGGAGGCTGTAAACAGATGGATCACTACGAGTCTGATTTAGTAGTGAGAACCTGAACACCCTGTAGACCCTTCCCTAAAAAAAAAAAAAAAAAAAAAAAAGATGGAATAGAGGAAAAAAGTAGACCCTGAAAAGACTGACATGAAAAAGTGAAGTATTTTAGAAGAGAACAATAGAAAAGATGGTCTGAGGGCTGGGGAGATGGCTCAGTCATTCAATCCCTGATTTCAATCCCTGGTTCTGGAAAAAAAAAGTAAAGATGTTCTGAGGGCATCACAAGAACCATCAAGACTCCATTGTTGCAGCCTCAAAACTGAAAAAGTGAAAAATTCTACTTTGAGAAGAGAGTCCACTGCAGGCCTGGAGATCAAATAGATCATCATGTTCCAAGATGGCAGGAACCTGGGGAATTTGTTCCTCAAGATTTGGTTCATAGGCACCTGACCACTATGCCAAGATAGAAGGAAGCCTGCCTACTGCTCCAGCTGGTGGCAGACCATAGCATCATCCACATACTGCTGATTTTAGGGACATGCGGAATGGAAGACTCATGGGATGAGAAAAGCTTCCCCCTAACTTGCAGGCAGTATGCCTCTGATGGGGCAGTGTGTGAAGCCAAAGGTGCAGAGGAGACCACAGAAGACTGGATCAGCCAGCAGCATGGATCCTTTGAGAAGGAAGCACAGCAGGCCCAAAAGCAAAGGTGAGGGAGCTACAATCACTAGCAGCACCACAGGGGAAGAGCTGCCTAAGCCTTTTAGAGTTCAGATCTTGCCACAGATTGCCTCAGAAGCTAGACATGGAACTATGAGAGTTACTGTTTGCCTTGCTGGGTCTTGGACTTGCTTTGTTTTTATTCTTTTCTGCTCCCTCCCTTTGCACCTTTGGGATGAAAGTGTCTATCCTGTGCTATTGAACATTAGAAGAATTTAATTTTCATTTATGCAGAGGCTTTTAGCTAAGAGTTGGCCTTAAATCTCAGAGGAGACTTTGGAATTAGACTTTTCAGCACTGCTGAAACTGCTAGGACATGGGCAACTACAAAAGATTGGATAAATGCTTTTTGCATAAAAACTGTGCATGAGTCTTTGACAGACCAGGGCAGAGTGCTACAGCTTATATCTAGATGTCCCTCTAAGGCCTCACGGGTAGAGGCATGTCCCATTACCTTCCCCTGCACCAAAATGTGATGGTGCTTGTGAGCAGTGCAGGCTATAGAGAGATAACTTCCCTAAATTGACTTTCAGTTTAATTAGCAAGTCTGACTGAGGCTGCATAGGTGTTTTCATAAAGGAAGTAGTTGACAGCAGAATAATATTGTTTGTCATAAATAGTCACGGTTGAGTTCAGATAGATGAACTCTATCTGAGTTCATGGGGATAAGATATGAAATGATGTCCCTGCCAAGACCCACACGACTCCAGAGGAAAATTCACTCCTAGAATTCACTGCGCAGTAGTTTATTCATTAACCATGACCTACATATGGCTGTTCCATCTCTTCCCCAAGAATACTTCATTCCCTCTGTTACAAGCCTTGCCTGCCTAGCCTCTTGCCCAGCATACCTAGTTGCTATTTTTCCCAGTGATCAATAAATACTGAGGTTCTGGCAGCCACATGGCTCTTTGTTCCCCCTGAACAACTGGTCTTCCCAGATCCCTGCCACACTGTTATTTTGTCTCTTGATCTTTTTTCTCTTTGTGTTCTAAGAAATTGGAGCTCACTGCAGGGGTCTCCAATACTTATGCAGACATAGATGGTACTTTTTGAAGCTGCTGGATCTAGGATGTGTGCTGCTAGGATTAAAGATGAGTGCTACGCAGCCTAGAGATGGGTGGTCTACTGACAGAAAGAGGTTCATTTCTTGTCACTTGATGCTTGTTTCTGCTGTTGTTTGTTTTCTGCAATGTCTTTCTGCCATGCCATCTTGCCTTGGTGACAACCAATTATGGACTGACACTTCTACAAGCTGTGAGCCAAAATAAGCCTTTCCACCTTCAATGTTGAGTGTTGAGCATTTTGTCTCAGTAATGAGAACAGGTAACTAAAACAGAGGGCTTACAGTCTAATAGGGAAGACAAGGTGAATATTCTAATAACAAGCCAGCTTACACTGAAAATCAGATGTGAAAAATCATCTCTGGTTGCATTATCTTTCAATAACAGAGAAGTTTTGAAAAAAGTTCCATGGGAGCATGTATTAGTGCATGAGATACGTTTCAAAAGTTGAGTCAAATTCAGATAGAAAGCATTTGGGGTACAGAAGATACTATCGATAAAGAGATAAAGTCAGATGTTCAACTTATTTTATTTCAGGAGCAATGAATACTTTCTGAAGGCTTGACCACTGGAATCTTGTACAGCTATAAATGTGGTTAGGGGTCAGATCATGAGCATAGTTTCACTTCAGTTCAAGAACATAAACATTACTTCATTGACACTGAGGAACTCTCAAACATTTCTGAGGTAGGACCTGAAATATTTACAAACCTACAAGTAACGTGGGTGTAGCTGCGAGTAAGAAAGAAAAGGATTTCATGCACAGACTTGGGAAACTAGGGATAGAATTGATGGCTATGTCAGATGGAAATGCATAGCAACATTGAAGTGGTGACACACACTTGTCACCCTAGCACTCTGTGAGCTGAGGTCAGAGGATTGCAAGTTCAACTCCAGACTGAGCAATTTAATTATGTAGCAAGAACCTGTCTGCAAGAAATGGGAGCGATGGGTATGTAGCTGGAGGGGGCTGGGTCTGGCAATGGTCCTTAGCACATACGGAGTATTAAAAAGAACACTGAAGCAGAGAAAGTTATGAAAACATTGCAAATATCCAGATGTTCAAGGCTGAAATGAAAAAATAAGTCAGTGACCGAAACAGGAAAGATAATAGTATAACAGAAAAGAAAATTTAAAAACACAACATTAAGAAGAGGTTCCAGAATGATTGGGAAAGGAGAATATGAAAAAAGAAAAACCCACTTACTGATACGCTAGATGTTTCTCTTAGAGTTTTTTACTTACTGGTCACATAATGTCTAGAATGTACACCACTGATTCCTGCAGGAGTGAAAATAAAGTTTTACAATTTTAAGTTATTTGTCAAAAAGTGGTCTGATGACAGATGATAGAGCACAGATCCACTCATAGGTCATTTTTCCAGAGTAACCAGTGGAAAACTCCTGCAGGAAGAAGTGGAAAGGCAAGAATGTGGTCCAGTTCTGATGACGATTCCCAGGATGACATTCAATAGGTCAACTTATTATCATAATTCTTTGATTCTTTATGAACAACAAGGATATTGACCTTTATCATTTATTTATAGCAACCCTCTTGTTCTACCATTTTGTGATTTTTTTATGGCTTTATAATGTTACAGTACTTTGCTAACAGGATGCAGAAAGAATGCATGGGAACAGCTGCCATAAAGACACGCTTCTCCATCTTCTCATGAATGAAGGGACAATCAAAAGGATGATTATCCCTGTATTTGAAAACCTGAATTTATGAGCATAAGATACAGAACTCAAAGATGAGCTGGATGTTGAGCTGAGGGTGAATGGATAGTCAAGAGTAGCTTAGGTATCCAATGATTTATGCTAAACAGGTGACACTGCTTTTGACACATGACCTTCAGGAAAAAAAAGAAAAGAAAGTGAAAACCCTGGGAGCAACTGGTGAGTTATGATAGTACTTCCTGCTCTTAGCCTTTCAATGATATTAAAAGGGGAAAGGAAAAGAACATTTATTCCATATAAATTAATTCAAAACAGTATGATTTAGGTACAGGGTCCACTGCAAAAAAGTCAGAGTATTCAGACTTCAAAAGTGAGGATCACCAGCCTGCTAATCATTGTGCTGAGATTCACATTAATTCGTCTAGTGAAAAGAGCAAGGGTTGGGAATCAGCGCCCTAAGTCCCAGTCCTGATTCTGTTAGCATACACAGTCACGCTGGAGTGCATGCTTCTGGTGCATTGCCTCAGTTTATTAATCTGTAAAAGGAAACTGGTAGTACCTATGCCCTAGTTAAGAATATTCATTTTGGTGGTAGAGTCTCAAAAGTTGTTTGACTAAAGAAGTCTGAGTACAATTAAACAAAGTTTGTGTCAATTAAATATAAAAATTATTTTTGAAAATATGAATAGTTGAATCAAATGATCTGTTTAGATTATTTTCAAACACACTGACATCCATGACTTCATTTGTTAAACATAAAACAAACTCCATTAATGCAATCAAAGATTTCTCAACTTATTAAGTAACATTTCTCAAAATAAACTGAAATAATCATAACCTTAGACTATGTTTTTAAACTAAATAAAAAACTGTTGTAAGGTTCTGTTATGCTCTTAAAATTTTACTCTCCACTGTGTTTATCGTGAACTAACTACATGAATGCAACTTCTATTTTTCATAGTTTCTCGTTTTAGGGTAATTTTGACCTAGTTGTCAAAGTTCATAATGGGTCAGAATTATGTCAGGGTACGGGTTCACTTACCTTTTCCCAAAGTTAAATATATTCGTTTTTGGGTTTAAGAGTAATCTTTTCTTTTGGATGTATGTGAAAGGAAAGGAAACACTTTTTGGAGTTACCTGTTTAAACAGCAGTTTTTAAATGTTTGCTCATCTTTGTCTCAAGGCAAGCTCATGACAAACTGGAATTGAACCTCAGTACAAAGTTCCACTACACCACAAAAAACAACAGAAGGGTTTAGTTTCAAAGCTCCATTCTCCTGGGACTTTGGTTGTTTGGATGAGTTGCTTCTGCAGTGGCAACGTTTGTGCAGGCACTTGGAGCAAAACTATGGAGCCTCAAAGACAGAATTTGAAGACAACATTGCCATTGTGTTTGGGAAGATACCAGATTTCTGAAGAGTATGGCTTTCTTCTTCCAAATCCTCTGGTAAGGATAGGGCCTTGAGCTAGGTCAAAATAGATATCTTGAGATTCTGGCTTATTGTTTATTTTTAAATGTATGTAGTCATTCAGAAAGAGGTATACACCGCATTGCTAATGTAAGGAACATGCTATAAATAACAGGGTGCAAAAAGAAATGACAGATATAGCTGAGGATTGTTCAAATGCAATGCTTTGAATCCCGGAAAATTACTACCAAATAGCTGTTAAGCAAAAGACTGGTTAAAGATAATTTATGTAGACAAATAGAGAGCCTCAGGAATGTTAATGTGGTGTTTCCAAGTACATTCTGCTCAAGCAAGGAAGATATGGAATTTCCCCATTATAGATCTGATCTATAATGCATTAGATATGTGTTTGGAACATAAGTCCTGGGAGAGATTACTCCTTGTATATTCCAAGTCACTGCTTTTGACCTTTTGAATCAAAAGTTAATTTTAACTTGGTGGTAGAAAACAAGAGAACAATTAGACCTTCAGTCTGCTTAGAGCTGCTGAAAGGGATTAGATGGTACTGGGAATTTCTGACAAGAGGAATGAAACTTTGAAACAAAAAGTACCAAATTCTTAAATTTGCTCAGAGTGGAGCCTGTTATGCAATTCTGCTTTACTGACTAGTTCTTATCAGTGCTGTACTTCTTATTTTATTAAATTTGTTCTGAAGTGTAGAATATCAAAACTGTAAGAGTCCTTGGATGCCAGCTAGACCCATGCCTGTGCCCTTTTCCACATCGGGCTAGTTGAAGTTCCAAAAGAATGACATGCCCAAGGTCATATTAACAAATGCAGAACTGAACTGACCCTCAGGGCCTTTAGCATTTTTTTCTTATTATGTCACATATAAGGGACAAGTTCATTCAGTTAGAAAGCTAAGATGAGTTTTGCTGTTATTGTAATTATTAGGAAAAGCCCAGATGAATTCAACCACATACCTATGATTGATAAATGATGTGGAATTTATTGAGCTTTTGCTAACTAGTTGCTCTTATGACTTTTTTTTTTTACTTTTGAGGTGTTACTGGAGAAATTTAAATGAAGATAAGAACCACTTGTTGATCTCAGAAGTTCTGTTTAGGGAGTAGTTAGCTGCAAGTCCTAATCACAGAGCTGCAGTTCTCTGCCAACCACAGAGCAGGAACATTGGTGCGGTCACTCGGTGGTCAGCTGTCTCCATTTACTAGGTACTGTGCAGATTTTTGAGAAGCAGGACTTTCTGGAAAAGGTCAAGACAAACCAGAATGAGTCAACACCCTAATTTACACTTAGAACCTTCTGACTCTTTCACAACTGACCCTGTTTTCACAATCTGTTGGTTAGAGAACTGGCGCTGTGCTCACAGTGTTGCTATGAATAATGGATGTGTAGGGACTGTGACAGAGTCAAAGTAAAGACTGGAAGCTAATTCTTGGGACCCTCCATCCAGGACTTCTTAAGAACTTCATTTGTTATGTATAATTTGTCGTATTAACTCAGGAATAATAACAGCATCCTCCCTACTCACAAGGAAGAAAGGGCTAACAGGCTAACACAGGTGAAATGAAATGTGTGCCCTGGGCTGAGCGCAATAATGTTGCAAAGGAGGTAAGAACCAGGCAGGGTCAGAGCTGCACAGTTCCTTTTTTATTGTTCCTTTTTTTTTATAATATCTGAACCTGAAGAAAAACAGTAACAACAAGTGTTTGTCACATTCTGAGCCTGATAGCATCTGTGTTGTGTAGTTGATAGATTACCCTTAGAAAAACTTCTGAGCTTTTATCAAAACATTTCCTGGTTCCATCCTGTGATAGTCATATTTTCCAGATGCAAATCTTCTCCTTTAGTTTTGATTTTCTTTCAGTCATGTGAGGATTTTGAATACCTCCTTTTCGGTACAGGGTGGAGGAAGGAACTTTTTCAAGAGAAGACTCAGGTTTCTTCAGAAATCAGGAAGCACTCACTTCCCAGCACACTGCAGACTGCCATGTTGCAGTGGCACACAGGCTGCGAAACAGTAGTCCTGCACGTCCTCAAGAGCAAGAGCTGGCTCTGCTGTCCTCCCACTCGGGGCACATGCTGTTTCTTCACATCAGCTGGCCTCTGCGGCATCCTTTCAGCGTCCGTTCCATATGACTTTTGGGCTTCCTAGGCAGACACACTTGTCAGTCTCTGAAGAAAATACTGTCAAGATAATGAAGAAAAAAACACTGGCTTCATTCCAAATATTCATTCCCACTGTTTCTATCTGCTCCAGCACTTCCAACTTATGACATTTCAGTGCAAAAAATAAACACCTCACAGACACCTACCTGTAAATAGACAGCAGAAATCCTTTGCTACGCCACGTGTCCTGTGTGTGTACATGCAAGTATGTGTAGGTGAGGGTGGGGAGAATGTCAGTGATTTGTCTTTACACAAAGAACATAAGAAAATTAGCTCGACAGGAAAGCAGGCAAGAGAATAGATTGGAGCAAAACAGGCAGACTCCAAATGTTGGGCTCTGAAATTTGGATTTAACACATCTAGTTGATGATATCATGCAACTGGTACTTAGAGTTTCCTTTCAGCATAATAAGGGTAGTTTGTCTTAGAGCATGGACCTTGGCTGTTTGCCAACGTCCCTTGGACAAATTTTTAAAATACCAGTGTAGTGTTGCACTCAGTTAATTCTGAATCTGTAGCTGACCTTGCCTCAGTGCTAGAGCACCAGATGGAGTGAAACACAACAGGAGGCCGCCAACGTGGTTCGGGGAGAGAAGCGGGGCCACATGTATGAGGCCAGCTTGGAAAGGAGCCATGGCTCAGTGAAGCACTGGTAAAGACTACGAAGTAGCCTACTTACAAAAATAAAAGAGCTATTTACATGGACTTTGTGGGCAAAAGGAAAGGCTTGATGAAAACAGCTGTAAAGGTATTAGAACTTTATCATGATCAATCAGCCCTTCAGGAAAAATGAGTGCATGTATCCTAATCTGTAAAAATTCAAAGCACTTGACATAAGTAGTAGAGTCCAGCTGGTGAGAAAAAAAGAAAATTAATTGCTACAGATGAGTATATTTTCCAGACAGAGGTTGTAGGTAGAAAGACTTAAGATATTTCTTTGAGCAATGAGTACATTTCTGGGGATGGCGATCAGTGCCAGTGGGGGATGTCAGATAATAATGGTTCCATGGTGGAGATAAAGACAAAGACAACAGCAGATTTGCTAACAGTTGGTACAGAGCTAGTTCAAAAAACATGTTTGAGGATGAGAAAGAATGGAATGAATGAAGAGTCGATGGACTTTTGTGTAGTACTAAGAAACCAAGAAAAGATGGTAGAGAAAAAGAGAAAATAGACAAAGGCTATTTTGGACACAGTTTCTGCTAAAACTGGAATTTTAAACAAGCATTCTTACTTTGGATTTGAACTAAGTAGATGCATGTTATTGTTAGAAGAGTTACCACCTAACTCACTCCAGAAAGTGGAGAGAAAAGACAGAGAGGAAGAAGGTGTAGAACAGCTGCACCAGTGATCACTAAAAGTGCTGTCCTGTCCCAAGATCCACAAGGTGGATGTTACTGTAGGCAAGAAAAATACGATGACAACTGATGATGTAGAAGATCCGGCAGTCGAGGATGGGCTAGGGGTATGCTTCAGATGGTTTACTTAGCATGACGAAGGCCCTGGGTTCAGGCCCAGCACCAAAAGAAATATTAGGATTCAATAAATGAATAATAAAAATAAGTATACATATCAAAATGCAAAATTTAAAGTATCTAAAAATAAATAAAATGGCCAAAGGAGCACAGGGTCGTGAAAATGGTGTACCATTGATTGAATTAGCATTGTTAATACGCAGATTAATCTTATATTTTCTATGAGATGTATTAGCTGCCTTCTCTCTGGAGCAGATCACCTATCAGATAATATATGCGAGATCTTTGCACTAAAAACACTGTAGGTAGTAAGTTCTAAATTATATTTTGTATTTCCTCAAAGCTTTTTAGGCAGTAAAGCTCTCTACTTTTAGACCAATAATTGATATGCTATAATTTCCAAGATGGAAATCCCACTGAAATTTTCAAATGCATTAGTAATATTTATTCACAATCTCTCCTACTTAATTAATAATTGAGCTTTTCCTGTATCCTGTTACAAATTCTTTATGACATATACTGTATACCAACAGAAGGCAGTCCATGGAATTGTCCACTCTGTACAGAGCCCCTTGTCACCTGCAACCCCACCACTGTTCCTTGCAGTAGCCTTGCCATGTGCAGGGGCCCCTTTGCCAGTAAACTCATCTCAGAAGTGTATTTCCTCTGAAGCTGACCATTTTCTCCACCTCTGCCCTCATTCATTCTATCGTTATCCTCTGGTCTGTCTCTTCCCTTTCTCTTTATTCCTACTCTTACCAAGCTGAAAAATGCTTTGTGCATGGCTGGTGGGTTAACTTTTGAAAAGGAAAATTGACTGTGACAGTCTGCTTTTAACTTTGTCAAGTGCACTGGAGGACAAACTCAAATATGTTCTTACATTGAACAAGGTCCTTCATGATGCCTATCTATCTTCCTCTTTACTTTGCTGTAATATCCTGCCAGATTATCTCTGTTTCCCAGCCTTCCTGTTGATATTTATCTGATTTATTTTTGTTCTAGTTTTTATGTTTTACTCTTACTATGCCATTTTCTTAGCCAAAAAGTTTAGTTAACCAAGTGTTAATCTAACAGACTTTATTATTTCTGCAAAACACATTTTTAAAAATGCTATATTTTAGATTGCAAATGTGGTCAGAAAATTTATCCAAATTTAAGCAAAAGGATGGCTGTGGATCCTGTGAATATCACTGGAGCCTGGTCTAACAGTCTTTTTGTAGGATCACTAACCACGGAGGATGTCCCTGTTACTTGCTATTGATTAAGAGATAATATCTGATATAATATTTTAATTTTTAGGTTTCTGAGGTACAAAGGATTTTTGTTGAGAAAAAATCATCCTTATATTTATGATTGTATGGCCCTATAGATAT